ATGCGGCAGCCCCGGCCCGGCGCGCGGGACCCGACCCCGTTCCGGCTCCGGCAACTGCAAGGGGGCCTGGCAATGGTTGCGCTCACTAAGCAGGTTTCTTTACAGCCGCGAAGGAAAAGAGAAAAAAAAGGAAAAAGAGGAGAAACTGAAAAGATGTGGGGGCTCCGCTGAGCTCTGCTGCAGCCCCTTGTGCTCCGAGAGCCACCAAAGGCCCTTTCCAAACCCGTCCATGCTGTTCCTAACCCGACTGGCTCCAAAGCTGGGTCCTGGGGGGTCCTTCCAGCCGGGGGGAGAAACAAGGTGCACGGGCGGCACGGTCGGGGCACGGGGGACACCAAAATACACCCCGACCGGGGCAGCGCCGCGGCCGCGCGGTCCCAGCCGCTCCACCGGGACCTTCCCCCGCGGCGGCCACCGTCACCGACGGGACCTCGGCCCTCCCTAAGAAAATTGCTGGGGAAGCGCTTTAAAAATCACTGCAAATAACTGTGGTTAAAAATTGCTCCGTTGGTTGATGCTTATATACAGGAGTCAGTTTTTGTGCTATATACGTGGTGATTCATTGCTTCGTTTCTTCTCTTTTTTTTTCCTTTCTCCCTCTTTTTCTTTTTTTTTTTTTTAAATACACTAAGAGACAAGAGCTGCTTTGCTATTCTCTAATGAAGACACTACTCACGCTTAAATATCCAGTATTTATCATAGTAACAAATCCAAACAGTAAAGTGCACCCATGTACAGAGAGAACGGATGGAAAACCATTAGTGCAAGAATCCTGTGAAAATGCAACACGTGGGAGCGTGGAAACAAACCCCCTGCCCGCCGCAGTGCGGCTCCATCTCGGCATAGGGGTGAAGGGGGAGCCGTTTGGAGCTGATTTTTTTCCCTTGGGACATCAGACCCGGAGCCGTGGGCAGGGGACACTTCTGCTGCGGGCAGGGGACGTTTGTGCAGGGCAGATCCTACAGCAGTGACGTGACCTGCTCGCCCGCCGGCGCCTACGAGGCTGCAGCTTCAGCCTATAAAATGAGACTGGGGCTGAACTGGGCTGTTTTGGCTTTTAAAGAAGCAGCTAAAGGCGGAAAAATCCACTGGTTCCTCCGGGAAAGCAGGGGGACGGGAGGCTCCGTGCAGACATCGCTGCTGCTCCGCACCCACGGACGGGCTGATAAAGCAGAACACGCTACTTAAAAAAGAGAGGAAGCCAAAAAAAGCCATCGCAGCCTTTTCAAGGAGAGAAACAGCACATGCACCTGCCTGGTTCCTTGTAGCCGTCGAGCCTAAAGTTACTGCTGGTTTCCAGGGCGCTTTGCACATCCCTGCAATAAAGCAAAGGGTCAGCACGGTGAGAAAGGAACCGCCGGCCCCAGCACAACCACCGGCTGGGGGAAATACAGGAGAAGAGCCAAAGGGGCAGCCCACAGAGGCAAAACCGTCCCCATCACCCAGGGGTGCCTCTGAGGGGTCTCCAAAACACGAGCCTCTGTCACACCAAGGTTACGTGTGTCCCGGTCCGAGCAAATTAGGCAGCAGGATTGCAACGAGAGGAGCCAAAAGAAAGCCAAAGAAAGCAAGAGAAAAAGCTCAACCAAAGCCAGGGGCTGCTTAGAGTTTTGGGCCAAACCCTTCGCTGGTGTAAATGAACGTAGCTGCGCCGGGGTCCCGCGGGGCCGGAGCCTTCCGTTTGGCTCGGCAAGTTTTCCATCTACCTCTAGATTCGCGTAGCCCTTTGGAAACACTGAGACGTCGCTCCTCTCGCTCTTGCTCTTAAGGTCGCGTAGGAATGAGATTCAGCATTAGGCAACAGGCACTATTTTGCTTTAAAACAAGCTACAGGATGAACGCTCTGCCCCTCCATCGCCGGCTCGTCGGGTTGTTCGCCCTCGGCAATGGAAAAAGGCAGATTGCAGAATGGCAAGCTGAGAAGAAACGAAGCATCCGTAAAGAAAGTCCCGCCGCCCTCCCATAAAATCCCACAGAATAACGGGGAAAAATTCATAAAAAGGGTTTCACAAGGGTCCTCTGCTTTTCATGCTGCCTCGATGTGATTTGTTTAGGAAAAAAAAGGAAAAAAACAGCAACAACAAAAAAGACAAACCCAAGAAAACGTCCTGAAACGGATTGCATAAATAAATTATAAATATCTCTTTTTTAACTACAGGTCCTTAAAGAGGAAAACATCGTCTCTAATGGGTGAGGAACATGGCCATGACTTCCCAGAATCTCAGAATGGATCCTGCAGCTCTACGGAACAGCCGCCCCGCAGCCGCGCGGGCCGGGGGGGACACGAGCTCCGCTCAAGGGGCTGCGCGGACCCTTCCTTCTCACATCACGTTACGATCCCCATCCAAAAAAAAACCCAAAACACCCCAAATTCCAGTTTTCCTCCTCAAATACAATTCCCCTATTGGATTTTTTTTCCTTGCAAGCAAAAAAAACAAAAGAAGGGAGTAAAAAGGAGAACCCCAAGGTTAAACCATGCTGGTGAGAGCGCGGTGCTGTGTGGGAGGCGCAGCCTGGGCTGTCACCATCCCTCTTTGCGGAACGCGGGAGGCTCCCAGGCCAATCCCTTGGGTACTCAACACGCATAGGAAGGGGCTGCTTTAATCCCTCCGGATTCCGGACACTCCTCTCCACCCGACACAACTCCTTGGAGCGAGAACCGCAGCGCGCCCTGCGGAAAATCAGCTCTTGCTGGGCCAGGCGAGCGGCACGGGAACCGGCGGCTCCCTGCTCGCTTCCCAACTCGGAATTTACATTGGAACGGTGTAAGAGCTCATTGAGACAAGAGAAACTAATTTAGAGCAAACGTGACTGTCTCTTGAGAAGAGCTGGTTGCCTCCCACTGTGGAGGGGATGGTTGTCGCCTACCCCACATCGTGTGCTAAAACATCCTGGTTGACAGCTGAAAACCGGGAGGGAACTTGCTTTGAGTTGGGCAAATGGCACCGGCTCGTCTCATGGTGGCTTCACAGTCAGCTGGGTGACAAGAGGGCTGGAGCACGTGCATGGCTGTCTGACCACCGCACAAAGTACCGGAGAAACTTGGTCATGTAGCTACCAAAGAGAAATAAAAATAATAAGAAGAATATGCATGGAAATCAAGCTTGGAAGTGTGTGCTGCAAACATAAGGATCTTACTCCAACAAGCGTCTTTCACACATTAGACTCCACAAATGGTCTCTTTGGTTTGATTGGGGATGTCTGCCCTTGTCTAGAGTCCCTGGAGAGCTGCCTGTACAGGTTGTCCTGGTAGGCCTGTGCAACAGGCAGTGTCCTAGCCACCTTAACATCTGGATACGAGGAGGCTTGCGTGACTCTCTCCAAGAGGTCTCCCCGGGACCCATTGGCTAGCATCCCATGGGGGCTGTAATAGTCTTCCTCTAGCAAATGGCCATTCTGTGCATTGTTGGTTTTGTTATAAAAGGCAATGTTGCTGATTGAAGAAGGCGGGCTAAATGATTCTGGCTGGGGGAGGTTGCCAGGAGATGTAGGACTAATAACACTATCCACTGATGACACAGCCCAGGTCCGGTTCTGTTGGTGGAGATGGGGGTACTGCTGAGTCCGAGCGGTTTTATCTATGATTCCCATGAACGGCGTGGTCCGGGAACGGGCTGGCTCGCTGGGGTAACCCCCCTGAGTTGGCGAGACTGGAGAAAGTTCATCGCATGATCTGTCATAAGCTGGCTTGAGAGGAATCTCCATCTGCTGAATAGAAGCAGAAGGGCGAAAGTTAGGTGTCAGGTTGGAGGTGGATGAAATGCTATTGCTGGAGGGAGAGAATCTGAGGCCAACGCTTTGAGAATGAAGCAGCGGTCTTGGAGTTGGTGGGTGAGGCTTGATTTCACTGGGATTAACCGTAATGGGCCTCCTTATAAGATGAGACACATCTGGAGAGCCCAGTTGGCCGGAGGGAAGGGAAGAACGTTCCAGGTCAAGCTTGGAGTGACAGACCGGGTAGTAGGAAGCGGACTGACTGCGTCCGATCTGAGGCGTCTGGCTGTATCTCATCCCGCCCCTGTACGCCGAGGAAGGCCGCTGCGGAAGATCTTCTTTAGCTAGACCTCCATGCTGACAAATGGCTCCCGCGCTGAGGCTTGCCTGAACGTGTTGCACTGGTCTGCCGTCCCCTACGATTCCACCGATTGAGCCTTGATAGACCAACCTGCTCTGACCAACCCCCATCTCCCCTGACGGCGACTGGTATTTGCTGGCCATCGAGTGGGCAACTTGGCTGTAAGCACCGGTTGGGATTACAGTACTCGAGTGCACGGCGGAGCTGGGCTGGTTGCTTCTCACAATCTGCGCCTTGGCCGGCTGCAGTCTCAGCCCTTGCTGGGGCACCGCAACGGGAAGCTGGGGCATCTGGAAAGACCGTTGCGTCATTTTGGATAACGGAGACTTTGGTCTACCAGGGAGTTGACTGACACCACTAGGTTCTTGCTGATAACGAACCGGGGAACCAGACTGGGACCTATAAACACTCATGCTTTCTGCAGGGGGGCTGGCGCGGTACTGAGGTCCTCTACGCAGCGGGGAAGGCGGTGGACTTTGATACTCCTTCCCTTGACCTCCCACAGGAGGTGGACTGAAGCGGTAAGAGGAGCCCTGGTGAGCAGGGGAAGTGTGTGGAGGACTAGGTCTGTAATGGGAGTTCTGGTGTGTTGGAGACAGAGCAGGAGATGTAGACTGGTACCCTTGCCTGGTTGGCGAACCCACGGAGCTATTGGACCTGAAGTCAAAGACCTGATGAGAGCCAAGAGGCGAGCCAGAAATATAGGCCGAGTCCCTGTGAGCTGGGGATGGCGGCGGGCTCTGGATGATGGGTAGCCCTTGGTTTGGCCTCGACTCCGTCTGCAAGCCAATGGATACGTTTTCTACATCCTGCTCAAGGTACTCCTCCTCAAAGAGGTCTTGCACGGAATAGAGCTCTTCGTGCTGGGCTTCGGGTTCGGGCTCCACGGGCAGCGGCGGCGGCCAGCCGCTGGATCTCACGGTTGTTCGGACACAGCTTGATGGCCTCATTGAGGTCCTCCAGGGCTGCTGAAAACTGCCTGCTTGACAAAGGGACACAAACAAGAACTGAAATTACTCGGGATTTGAACGGAGCTGTTCTCGGAGGCCAGGGGCTCGTCCGCTTTACCCAGGGGAAAGGCTGCGAGTGCTACAGCTGGCCCGAGCTCAGCCTCCCGTGGGGTTATTTTGTACCGTGGCCGTTCTGGGCAAGAGGGAAACGTGTTCCCAGGGCGGCCCAGTGAGCAGAAGGACCCTCTGCTTTTTTTCCCCTGGGTTGTATGAGTGAAGGGGAAACCAAAGCAGAGGTAGCCAAGAGCCGAGCTCCCCATAGCTGCCAACAGGGTCAGCTTTGATGGAGCCAGTGACAATTCCGCTGCCTGACGCACAGGTCGCCCAGCGGCAGGGCCGGCTCCGGAGGCCGGACCGCGTCTCCCGCGCCGCGTTCGCCCGACCTGGTCCAAGGAGGAGCCCAGCAGGGAGCCGCAGGCCCCAGGGCAGGGGGTCTGTGAGGTCTGGGAGGAGCAGGAGGGAGCTGGGGATGCAGGGAGGGGGGTTGTCATTTACAGGGTCACTGCTTTTGAGCACAACGATCCGTTTTAGCGTGATTGCGAGCTGGGGAACGATCCCCACCTTGGGCTGGACGTGCACCCAGCCCAGTTCACTGCCCTGCCACAGAGAGGGAAGCTCTCCAGCACCTCCCAACACCAGCTCTGCTTTGGCAACACCCATTCAAAACCACGGAGAAACAGTTTTTGCCCCTTGACCATGCCAACCTTAGAGGGGCTAATGTGCACAAACCAGGGAAAATAGTAAGAAAAGCCAAAGTGTCGACGGTCTATATCAGAGAGACGAGGGGAGGCAAGGACGCTTGTGCATGGGGGAAGCTGATGCCATTGGAAAGCAACCAAGTTCTTACGCTTCTTTAAAAGCATTTTGGAAGCGGTGGAGAGCAAACCACTAAAGGACGGGTAAAATCAGTGTGATTCAGCTAGCGGGATGTCTCTGCAGAACACGGCCCGGCTTCACCGCCCACACTGAGACCCTGCTGGACCAGGAGGTGCAGCAGGGACAGGCAAACTGTGACGGTGTGTGCTGGCCCCGAGGCCACTCGGATGGACTGTACAGGCCACCGACCCTGGTGGTTCTCTGCACTGCGGCTCCAATTTAGCACTGAGACAGCGCAATGACAGCGTGCCCAGACCCTGAGTGCACGGCTCCAAAGCAAGCCCTCCTGCTCACGTAGGAATGGCACTGGCAGGTTTGGAAAAGAATCTAGTCTCGCATCTTTTTAGTCTTCTGGCAGGTCAGCAAGGGAAGGCTCCATCTGAGACGCACTGAGATCTCTAACAGTAGGTTGGAGTGCCCTGGGCACACGCTCTTGCCGAAAGCAAAGCAGCTGCATTTGCCTGCACAGTCACTGCACAACTAGTCCTCAGCTACTGCCTTGCCAGAAGTGCTGTAGGACAGGCAGATTCATAGATTTTTAAGGCCAGAAGAGACCACTGTGATGAACACGAGTCTGCTCTCTTGCGTAACACAGGCCACAGGGCTTCCATGAATCACACTTTGCCTCAGGTCCAAGCTGAGGTTGAGCTACAGAGCGTTTTTTGGATAATACCCAATCTGGGCGTAAAGATTTCCCATGTAGTGAGGTGCTCAGACCAAGTTCAGCTAGGAGGAACTTCTCAAAACATTTGCCTTCAGCTGCACTCCAGGAATTACCAAATGAGGGAGGGTGTTACTTTGGAAATGTCGGGTTTTTTTGTAACCACATTAATGCACGTTCTTTGCCATTTCTTCACATGGGGACGGTTTTGCATGGTGAATGCCTACACCGGGGTGGCCAGGCTCAAAGAGAACAGCCCCTTTCAGCTTTTCTCCCTCTCTCTCCTCACCTGCTGCTGCGTTTGGCCCTTGCTCTTGCATAGTAAGCTTCATAAGATTTCGGTTTCAGCTCCAGTGCTTTAGTAGCAAATTCCTCCGCCATTCCAAAATCCTGTCATTACAATAGGTGGGTAGATAAGTAATTGAATAGATATAAATATAAAAAATACACAACTTGGGAAGAAAACAAACTTACATTGACGTTTTTTCCCCTGCAATTCAATTGGGAAATCTTGATGGTATTGGGATGTTTTACAAGGATTCAGCATCATTTACAGTCGGATAACTGCAGTGGTGTGTCCTCTCATAATGCCAATGCTGGACCACATCCACCAGAGACCAGGGTACCCCTTACTCAGCCTGGCTCCGTTCTCACTGCCTGTGTCCCCGCCAAATGCATGCAATCCCTGGCTAATATCCTGCAGCCTTGAGGAAACATCTGGTCTCACAGAGGCAGGAATGTGATCTCATGAAGGATTTTTCAACAGTTGAAAGCACTTGGAAGCCATTCCTATGCCCCCTGCTCCCCACTCTGTAAAAATCTGTGAAACACTCTGAAGGGATTGAATAAAACTGCATGAAAGAAGGGGCTACAGATACATCAGTAACTGCAACAGGGGAAGGTGACACCACGGTGTGGAGACTCATTTGGGGATTTTGAGTGGCAACACCATGAGATCACACCACAGCAGCCACCCACAAGCAAGGAAGGCCATTTGTGTCCTAGTGAGACCCGGGGGCAGCTGGGTGGAGGCCAGGTAAAGCCCCTGAAACACACGAGGCCACAGCACAGAGTTTGCTCCTGACTGTTGTTCTTTTGGTCTCATTCTCAGGCACGTGCCAGAACCTGCTATTCTGCAGTTCCGTAAAATTTGGGTTTTGAGTATACAAAAACTTACAGTAAGAACATTCCAAGCATGGCCTTTAGGCATCCACTTGGGTTTCTATCTTCAGTAGCAGTTACTGAGGTATTTTCTAACAGACTAAGCTGGGAACGTGGTCGTGAGGTAGGCACCTTATGGACTAACCTATAGGTGCAAAACTTGCAGAATAATTACAACTCCCTGAAACTTCCTATCACAATATCTGGCATTGCCCATTAACAGCTAGCTGAAAATTCTGCCCTTAAAGCATGGGCTGAGCAGTGAGTTGGTTGGTTTAAAGAGAAGGTCCCCATCCTTCCAAGCTCTCTATTGCTCGCTCGCCAGCATTATGATTTTGTTCCCACTGCTTTTCACCTGCCTCCTTCAGCGCTTAAAGAGATGCAGGTGTCACCAAATCCTTTCCCTGCCACCCAGAAAGGGGGAGGTGACACTTGCCTGGTGGAAGAACAAAAGTGCTGCAGAAGTTTGTCGCTAGATGCTGCTAGATGGGAGCAGAGTGACAGCTCTGGGAGGAGAGGGAGGATGTGGGGGTGTTTCTGCATGACTCACTGCCCCGGGGAAGCACTAGCCCCCTAAGCATATGCTCCTTCGTTGCAAATTAATTAGGATTCACAGGAGCACATCTCCCGGCTCCTCCCTCACCACTGCCCTAGAAACCACAAAAATGCCTCCGCCCCCAATTCACACCATCATCAAAAGGGAGCAATCAAAAATTCAGAAAGCTATAAACATAGCAATGAATTTTTAATAGTCAGAAATGAATATTAAATCATTACTTTACTGCTTTGGAGTTATGAAATGTCAGTGCTCTGTGAAGGACAACCAGGTTACAGAGAGGAGAGACCTCAGAGGCCGGAGCACAGCTACAGGAGAGACACGTCCCTACGGACGGGCGGGAAGGTGGCACCTTGCTCTTAAGGCCATGAAGAGCGGGGGGACTTACGTTCATTTTCCTTCGACATCGGGACAGGTTGAGCAGGAGCGACACCTTGAGCTCCCGGAAGGTTTTCAGGTCTTCTCCAAACCCTTCCCTGGGGAATTTTTTCAGGGCATACTGGTAGCGCTGGGCAGCCTCCTTCACTTTACCTTTCTAATAGAGGGAGAAGAACGTCAACATAAACCCCTCTGTTGAGCTCACTGCACTGCCGCAAAGTCACTCACCAGCCCCACGAGTGTTTTGGGTGGTTAGGGTAACATGACTTCACTATTTAGCTCTGTTCTAGAAAGGAAAGCCAGAACATTTGATCAAGGGAACCATTCAGGAAATGCAGATGCCTTCTGCAAGATGAGATCTCCCCCTTCACCGAGTTTGCAAGCTAGAGCAGGAAACACAGCAGAAACTGTTTTACGTTAACTTGATACAGCCCCATCTGTTCTCCGCTTACGTGGTCTTTGGAGCTTGGAGACACAGAAACACAACCCCTTTCGGAGGCCACCACTTCTGGAGGACATCGTGCACCCTTCCCACAGCAACGTGCCATCTTGGCAGCATTTAGATACGAAGGGTTGGGCTTTGGGTGGAATTCCTGGGGCTCAGAGAAGCCTCTGTGACAGCTCGGATAAACTTCACGTGCTCTAAAGTTGGACAAATGGATTGGGATTCATCCCCACAGACTTAAGGTGTCTAAAAATGAGGTGTCTGCACCTAAGCCTGTCAACTGGGTTCCTTTTATAGTTATTGGGACGCAACAGTCACCTTCAAAGGGTGACTCACCCTCGCTATTTTGGGCACCTATTTTTGGGATGGGATGATTTGCGTCCTGAAGGGGAGCAGCCGTGGCAGGGAGGGTGAAAGAAAGAGGGCAAAGCCAGATCTAGGACACGTGCGGCTCGTGATGACCGAGACATAAATTTTGCAGCTACTAATAGTAAGCTTTAAAACCTTTCAGACTCAGGTTTCTCAGCTGTATCCTATATCCCTGGCAGATCCCTGCAGTTACAATGCCAGCTCTGCATATTTGCTGCCTCGCCCTTGCAGGCTAACAGTGAATCACTGTTGTACTTGCACATTTTTCGTGCGTGTGCAAATCTCCAGGTTCTAAAGATCAGCTTAAAACAAACATAGAGCAAGAAAGATGCTCTGGTTGGAAGGCTGGAATGTCCTCTCAGGGCCTTAAGGACACGACATAAAGCCATCCCTGTCCTGATGATGTGCTTTCATTATCAAGAGTTTCTTTCACTAGTTTTGCTGGGATATCCTATCTGGCTGCTTGGTTTTGCTGTGGTGGGTGCTCAGTAACGGCATCGCTGCCAGATCCGAGGCAATGACATCAGCACGGAGCATCTCCTGAAACACTTGGGTTCTGGTGTTTGCAAAAAGGAAATGAAGTCTTGGCTCAAATCCAGAACACAGACAGACTTGGCTTTGTTTCCACCTTATTTTTTTACAAATTTTGGCAATCAACCCCCCTCTCCCCAGCCCAGCTAACCAAACCAAACAGTTTGCAACACAAGAGACCCTGCAGGCAGTAGCTTTTACCTCCCAAAGACTAAGGCAGCAGTGTTGAGGTATCACATGAAGAACAAGACCTCATAGACACAGGCCCAAGTTTCATCTTCTCTCTTTCTCCCCAAAGCCTCCTCTCACCTTGTAAAACATGTCTCCCTCCTCCATCAGCTTGCTCAACAGGATGATCATGATGTCGGGTTTGGAGGTGGCCATCGCCCATGTTGCTGGACCTGCAGTGTACAGGATGCATGATGGGTAAAAAACTCATACAATGCAAGGGTGGTAGGAAGCTGGGTGGAAAAAAGATCCTGGGGTGGGAATTTCTGCTGGAGAGAACAACTTGGCATGGTCAAAGAGCAGAGCGCTCCAAATTACGGAGCTGACAGTTCCTCTTGCACTTAAATTGACACTGCACTGCAAAACGCCTGTTCTTGGCATTTTATACTATCTCTAACACTATCTTTAATGTTATCCTTAATGCTATTGTTATTGACAACCAGCACGCCTCAGGAAGGACCAGAGTCGCTTCCACGAGAGGGCACTCCAGGTTGGAGAACCGGCAGTGCGGCCAGGAGATAAAACGTGTTTCAGGAAAACCAAAGTGGTTACGTTTCACGTAATTCAGCATTTCTGCATTAAAATCTCTGTAAATGCCCCAGGGGAGCTACGGCTCGGCCGACCCTTGCGCCTTTAACTGACTTGGGGTTTCCAACTTCACCGGTGTGAAACATCGGAGGAGGGAACGGGGCGCGCGCTGGCGAACGTCACCAAAGCAGAGGTGATGGCTCGTGGCCAACGTGTCCCTCCAGCTGGCGCCAGGCTTGGCACAGGGGAGCGCGCTGGCCGTGGGGATCCCCTGCGCAGAGCCAGCCCTCGCCCCTGGTGCAAATGTGGGATGAGGACTCATTAGTGGGGACACAGAACAAGTCAGCGATGCTCTAGGAGCGGATCGGGTCCGTTTTAGGGTGGGGAAGCAGTTAGTTTTGGCGTTCAAGTTATTCTCTGCAACAGTTGTTAAAAAAAATAAATTATTTGAAGGTGAGGAAAATTAAAAGATTAGAGGTGTTGGGGACGCATGCAGGCTAAATCAAACAGGAGAAAGCAAGGCTGACAAAGCTATCAGATCGAGGCTGATGCTGACAGCAATGAGATATACCTCGTGGGCGACTCGGTAACGTCTGACAACCTTCAAAGAAAGGAGAAAACAAAAAGTTGTAGGAGAGAGGGGGGAAAAAATGGATGAAGGGGAAAAAAAAAAAAGGAAAGGAAAAGAAGCATTTAAATATTTTTCCTGTAACTTGATTAGCTGTGATGAGGTTAGAAAAACTCTGAGCGTGTGGTCCCAGATAATCAGAAAAGCCCCAGTTTCTCTGATCCACTGCTAATGAAGTCTAATCTTTCTCAGGACACTTGACAACATTTTGTCATCTGATGGGGCATGAATGTAGTGACCACACCCAAACTGTCTGACCATCAGAAAGGCAATTCACATGTTTATCATTTCTGAGGAAGAAAAGAGAAAAAAAAA